AGATCTTGGGGTTACTGAGTTCCTCAATACCCAACCTTTAAACTTTTTGGGTTCTTATAGTTTAGTAGTAATCTGAGAGTTTAACCTTTTATTTCCCTGGCTTATTGGCGGTATGAAATCCGGGACTTGCGGTTTCGGACTCCGAAGGTTTATAGTTTCGGGCTTCGACTTGGACTGCAACCATCAATCCTGAACCCAGCCTGAACCCGGAATAAAATCAGCTCATCAGACCAGCCGCGACCCGAATCTTTTCCATATCCTTGCAACCCCAAGCCCGAAACTTAAACGACCGTCAGGTGCCGAGCATCGGGCGCGCGGTATGCCGTCCTAAGGCAGGTGTAGAGTCGAGGTTTTGTGTTTAATCTTCAGGACAGGCTAGCTTTCATGAGCAGCGCTGTTCCTTCATGCGGTTCTCGCCGGACATACCCCCAGCTTGACTTATCCCTTACAACCTAAGCCAGTTTAGTCGGTTTCCAGGTTTTGGTTGCAGGTTGTCGTTGCCGGAGGTTGGAGACGGTGAATGACCGTTGGCCATCTCAGTTTGGTCTTAGGGGTTTCGGGCTTCAAGGTCTAAGGCTTTCATCGTAAGTTCCTAAAATACCAAATCCGTTCGGTTGACGTCGCCGATGCCTTTATCCTCAGGTTCATCGGATGGTGTAAAACGATGAGAATACCCCTAAACCCTAAACCTATATAAATAGCATTTATGCCCCGTCTAGGCAAATGACTGAACCGGCACTAGGCTAGGCCAGGGCCCTACCTCGGTAATCCCAACAAGTTTTCTTTCATTGTCAAAATATGTATGTATGTATATATTATATATATTATATATATATATATATGTATATATATATATATACATGTGGATGGATAGATAGACAGATAGATAGAGAGAGAGAGAGAGAGAGCGAGAGAGGGGCTCCGCAATTTCAATATAGAAGGCTTGAACAGAAAGTCTTCGGGTTTCCGAGGCAGAAGTTAAACCCTGGGAATTTAGTGTACCTGTGGCGTACCTTTTTAAGGGACTATCTATAGAATCCATGTAAGGAATCCTGGAAAGGTAGGTCGTTTCGGCTACAGGTAGGGTTTTAGTGTTTGTAGGGATCCTTTGTTTTACGATTGAGGTCTTTGTTCTTGTCCATGCAGCGGGGGGAACATGCAATGCACCGGTAGGCAATTGAGCCACACTGAGCTTTAAGGCAACTTTTCCCATGTGCGCTTGGGCTGCAAGACGCAGCGAGAAGAGATAAGTTAGTTAGGCACGAGTTTTACTTCATACATAGACATGTAAATCGTCTTCGTCTGCTTAGTCTCTTGGCGCACGCACCTGCGCTTCCAGAAACTACATCATCATCATTTTGTGAGATGTTACGTTCATGCGTTTTTCGATGGTCGGGTTCAGGTATCTGCTGACCCGTGAAACAAATCGTGATCCGAATCCCTACTGTAACCGGAGCTTGCCGGTGTGATCCTCCAATCATCGGCAACTCACTCGTGGAGCGCTGTAAGCACGCATGCTCAATCCCTGGCTGTAGCAGGCTCAGGAATCAGGAGTACCTATTGTTTTATGAAAGGTCTGGGATTTTTAGACATGATTCGTGCATTACCGTTATGTAGCTAAATGCAGCCCTACTTGTCAGAACAGTATCAGAGCAGCTGGGATTAGTCGCAGCAGTTTTCGAGGTTGTAGGAGGATGGCGCTTCGGATGTGCAGAAACGCAACTGACGCTGACTGTTGGCTTTGACGTCGCACCTGCTTCGTTAAGACACGCATGTGCCGCTCCACAGCACTACCTCCCGTGAAACCCTCAACTCTAAGCCCCTAACCCTTAAACCCTGAGAGTGCGAGTCGAAACCCCTAAAACCTAAACCCTAAAAGCCTCCAATTTTTGACTCCAGATCTGCGCAGCGTAAACCGTAACTAGCGCTAGTAGCCCAATTCCCTGTACATTGTATTTCCACTTTGTGGGTTATATTTGGGATCCTAGAAGGCAATCCCAAAAAGGAACTACAATGGAGCTTATGGGTACAGTACAGTTATCAACCCTGACCATTATAGCCATGCGGGCTTGTCCTGGCGAAGTAGGGGGCCAAAAGAATAACATTAAAACCGATCGATCCCTGAATCATTGTCCTGGAGCTTGTGCGAACCCTAAACCCTAAACCCCTAAACCCTAAACCCTAAACCGAGAAGGGATTCTTGGGCGCTTCCACGTGCTGGAGGCTCCACCCGACCTTGCCATTTCCTCACATCTGAGGTGCAATACAGGGGCCCTGATATTTGGAATAGGCTTTTTGGCTTCTTAAACCAGACCCCTAGACCCGAGACCCTAAACCCTAAACCCTAAACCCTAAACCCTAAACCCTAAACCCTAAACCCTAAACCAAACCGTACACTTAAAAGTTGGCAATGGGACCCCAGAGGCTTCCGCAGCATATGAAACAACTTACGAGCGTTTTTGCGTCCTGTACCATCCGTGCATTGATGAGTGTTTGAGAGTCGGATGCAAGTATTGAAGTCTAGTTCTCCACCTTTGTTAAGATGTTACCTATAGTCTCCATTGTA